TTTTTTTTTTTTTTTTTTTTTTTTTTTGTAGAAACTTGAACTTTTGTAACTTTGTTAGGATCGATTGAAATTTGGGAATTGAATTGTTGAAAAAATGGCAAATTTATGTTGAAGCATCATTAGAAAAAAAATTAATTTTTTTTGCTCTTCAAATTAAAGTTGTTTTAATTATTTTTTTTGCCCCTTATGAGTCTATGACCTAGGACTATTACCTCCCCAAACTCCCTTCAGGCCACCCTGATATCAACTTTTTCAAAAATTTATTTTTAACTAGTACATAAATTAATTTTAATTTATAGAATAATATAACTTTTTTAATTAGTTTTAGTTGCTATATATATTTTTAGAAAAGTTTATATGTGACTATAGTTTTACATGTTTTTGGGACGGAGAGGGGAGGGGTGTATGCATTCATGTTAATTTGTGACTTCTAACATAATTAATTAGTTGTTAATTACTAACGTGTTATATAGTTAGCTCCGCGTTTTTTCGTTATTAATTTGTAAGTTTTGGAAGCAGCCGTATGTAATTAATAACAACTTCAGTCTACACATTTAAAAATTTAATACATTTTTTTTAAAAAAAAAAGAGTAATGTACATTCACAATTTTTCAGTGTTTTTTATTCATTCTATTAAATGAGAAGCAAGAGTTCTGTTATGCAATTCTGAATTCTCTCTATCATATGAGAATCTTGAATAGCATTGTTTGTTGAATTGTTCTTCAGAATAGAGGTGCTTTTAAATTGGATTTAATCCTTGTTGAAGAAAAAATCTTTTGATCTAATTATATGGTTTTCTTAATTATATCATCAATGTTTTGATTGGGATGATTTGAGATGTAATCCAGCGAACATTTCACTGGAATCAATATTCACCTAATCAAGACAAAACCTTACCCAACAATACCTATAGGAGGTTCATTGACAAATTACTGTATTTGACCATTACTCCTTCATATATTTCATTTTTAACATAAAAACTTAATCAATTGCTCACACAATCAACCATGGATCATTATAAGCCAAGGTTACATATCTTTCCTTACTTAAAGGGTTCTCCAGGGGAAAATGTTTTTATTTTCCTGGACTTCTTCAACTTCAGTTATGGGGTTTGGTGATGTTGACTAGGATAGATGTCCAAATAATCTTTTAATTTGTAAGAATTATTGTAACAGCAATAAAATTCAAACTTTAAACTCTAACTCTCCACACCACATAGTCGATCTTAATTATATATGGTTCTAGATGCCTAAATAAGTGTTTGTGAGGTGAGTGTTAAATTTATTTTCCTTGGACTTCTTCAACCCACGTAGTTTGTTGTTTTTCTTTAGTTGTTAGTTGTCACAACAATTGTATATGAGTTAATCACCTATATATTGTTAGTGAAATTTTTTTACATTGGCAACCAATCATATCTATTAATAGTATCATGTCATTTGCTCGTTTAATAAAATAAAAGTAAAATAAAATAATTTAAAAGATATGATTGGTTACTGGTGTAAAAAACTTTACACCAACAATATATGGATAATTAATTCATTGTATATATAGCAACTTCAGTGTACAAATGTGAACATTGAATACATTAACAATAATGAATCATTTATACTTATCCTTTTTTTTTTTTTTTCACTTGGTCCATCAACTAGATAGTTAGCACGTAATTTTAATTTTAAATTACATAATTATTTGACTTGATTTGCTTTCGATTTGCACTATATTGCAGGATTACAATATAAATTATGGAGCTAAGTAAGAAATGGAAGAGAAATTTTTCAATCGCGTGATTCTATATATGATAGTGTTGTAGAATTGACCAATAAAAGAGTGTTGAAGCTGAGGGTACAGTTATGCGAGTGTCCTCTTGGTATCAACGTGTAGTTGTTTCGGACTTTGTTCCAGTTATGTTATTGTGTTCATTGAAATTTGTCTCTATTGGTTGATGCATGTAATAATGAGACATATAATAACTCCTTGCTACTTTAATTTTTTCAGTTTCCATGTTGGTTTACCTTATTTCACTATAAGAATTCTCGCTATTATCGGATCATAAAAAAAAATATTTTTTTTTTGCTATTATAGTCAACCATTTACATTGGGCCTTTAGATTGTCAATAATGTTTTAAATTACAAAGGACTTAGCCATATGTAGTTCGTTGGTAAATTACAGACGACTTTCTTATCGATAATGTCTTAAATATACGTTGGGCTTAGCCCATTATAAATATCAATTACAATTTTTCAATAATTTTTTGATGTGAGGGGAGACATTATAGAAGTTTAAGTTGTTGATAATTACAACTTTGAAGGGACTTTAGACCTTGGTAAAAATGAGATTACAATACTTATCGTAAATAAAATAAATTAGTAAAAAAAATTACTTATATATATACATACATATATTAATCACAATAAATATTGAATATCGTAGAATAACATAATTTATATATATAATATAAAATGTTGTATAAGACACATATAAATAGAGAGAAACATACTACGCATAAAATAATAAATAAATATATATATATATATATATATTAATATACAAAAATATATAATATAATATTTAAATTTTTTTACATTGGCAACCAATCATATCTATTAATAGTATCATGTCATTTGCTCGTTTAATAAAATAAAAGTAAAATAAAATAATTTAAAAGATATGATTGGTTACTGGTGTAAAAAACTTTACACCAACAATATATGGATAATTAATTCATTGTATATATAGCAACTTCAGTGTACAAATGTGAACATTGAATACATTAACAATAATGAATCATTTATACTTATCCTTTTTTTTTTTTTTTCACTTGGTCCATCAACTAGATAGTTAGCACGTAATTTTAATTTTAAATTACATAATTATTTGACTTGATTTGCTTTCGATTTGCACTATATTGCAGGATTACAATATAAATTATGGAGCTAAGTAAGAAATGGAAGAGAAATTTTTCAATCGCGTGATTCTATATATGATAGTGTTGTAGAATTGACCAATAAAAGAGTGTTGAAGCTGAGGGTACAGTTATGCGAGTGTCCTCTTGGTATCAACGTGTAGTTGTTTCGGACTTTGTTCCAGTTATGTTATTGTGTTCATTGAAATTTGTCTCTATTGGTTGATGCATGTAATAATGAGACATATAATAACTCCTTGCTACTTTAATTTTTTCAGTTTCCATGTTGGTTTACCTTATTTCACTATAAGAATTCTCGCTATTATCGGATCATAAAAAAAAATATTTTTTTTTTGCTATTATAGTCAACCATTTACATTGGGCCTTTAGATTGTCAATAATGTTTTAAATTACAAAGGACTTAGCCATATGTAGTTCGTTGGTAAATTACAGACGACTTTCTTATCGATAATGTCTTAAATATACGTTGGGCTTAGCCCATTATAAATATCAATTACAATTTTTCAATAATTTTTTGATGTGAGGGGAGACATTATAGAAGTTTAAGTTGTTGATAATTACAACTTTGAAGGGACTTTAGACCTTGGTAAAAATGAGATTACAATACTTATCGTAAATAAAATAAATTAGTAAAAAAAATTACTTATATATATACATACATATATTAATCACAATAAATATTGAATATCGTAGAATAACATAATTTATATATATAATATAAAATGTTGTATAAGACACATATAAATAGAGAGAAACATACTACGCATAAAATAATAAATAAATATATATATATATATATATATTAATATACAAAAATATATAATATAATATTTATAATAATTTA